TGAATAAACCTGTTTTGCTGGCAAAACAACTGTTTTAGGTTAACACAGAGAATCAAAAAAGTCTGCTCCATGAGCTCATCTTGCTGAGAATAATGGTAACTTACTAGATTATTTCACTGTTTCACACTGAAAACCAGGTCTCAGGGAAGACAAATCAGGAACTCCATACCACTAAGTTCTTCTCTGTCCCGTGTTCCTTTTCTTTTAATGGTATTACCTTTTGAGAGAAAGATTGAATCTATCCTCAGCTCCAGGGAGAAAAATCCCAAAGGACTGTAATTGAGGACCCTTGGGTCAGTGTCCATGATTGGTACAATGGAAAACAGGGTGCTACTGCTGGTTCATTTTGGGTCAGAATTCTAGCCCTGGATCAAAACATTATGGACAGGTGGTAGTGTCAAGGACTCCAGGCAAGGCCAGTGGGGACCACCATTGTGTTGCAGGGCAGTCCCAGAAACAGAATGATCTGAGCCAGGGAACCTTCCCACTAGTTATCTAAAACCACACTACCCGCCCCCAATTCTCTCACTTCCTCTTTAATGATTCTGTCTCAGTTTTCTTCACGAGTTCTTCTTCCTCTGCTCAACCCATAAATGCTGAGGTCCCTGAGGGTTCCATTCTTGCTCTTTCTCTTTTATTCTTACTCATTCTCAGAGTCAGCTATTTCCATGGTAGACATTATGGTCTTCTCCCCAACATTTTTTTTCTCTGTTATCTTTTTTTTTTAGTTAAAGTATAGATGATTTACAATGTTGTGTTAATTCCTGGTGTACAGCAAAGTGATTCAGTTTTATACATATATAATATACATAATAATATATGTATACATAATATAATGTATAACATAATAATATATGTACATGTATTTTTTCATTCTTTTCCATTATATGTTTTTACAAGATATTGAATATAGCTCCCTGTGCTATACAGTAGGTCCTTGTTTATCTTCCCCAATATTTAATTCACTTCAAAATTTAATCTAATCGAGTCATGGTAATTCCATTCCCCCTTGGCAAAATCTGTTAGGGTTGAACAGGACTAAATTATATTAGACCAATAAGATTCAAAGAAATGCTTGCTTAAGACTTCTGGGAAAGAGAAATCAGTCTTCCTGTTGTCTGTTGGGTGGGAAAAGGAAGCATGCAGCCTCAGCTGTCTGTGGCAGTCATTTTGTGTTATGAGTGGAGCCGGTTTTGGTAGGAGGTCAATGATGGGGACATCAGCGCAGTGAGATGGGAAATATCTCAGGTTCTTAATGACATGGTTGAACGTGGTCATCTACCCACTCTGCCTTTCCACTGGACTTTCTGCTCTGTGAGATGCAAGGTTTCCACATTGCGTAAGCCAGTTTGATTCAGGTGTTTGCTATTGAAGCTGAAAGCATTCTACTTAATTCACACCACTGTGAAATAAAATTCATATTTTGTGGCAAGATAAGAAAAATTTAAACCTAAAAAAGTTTCTCTGCTGTCTCCCCTACCCCTGCATTGTGTATTTGCATTAGGCATCGACCAAACCTTCCCCTTTGGCAGAAATACCTGCTCAACCACAAAGAGCAACATTCTCCCAGCATCAATAAGACAGCTCCTTAAAGATAACATTCCTTCTTAATAAGGGGTCACAGGGTGCTTAGATCTGGGTTATGTAAACTATCAATAATACAACATTTAATGTACAGCCCTCTGTCTCAAAAAACTTATGTAACTGTGCCTCGACTTCTAACAAGGGGAACAATTCTCAGAGCTTTCTGAGATGCTCGTCCTGGTTATAATCTTCAAATTTGGCTCAAATAAAATTTTCCATTTCTTTCTTAGATAGACTGATTAATTTTTCATTGACACTACCATGAATTCTCTCAAAAGCACATTCCTGGGCTACAAACCTACTCACATTTCCCAACCCCGCTCCTCCTCTTCCTGGCTTTCCTACAATTCATCTACTTAAGAAATAAATACTCGGTGCCTACTATTATGCCAAGCTGTTTTAGACACTGTAGATATCGTAGTTGATGAAACAAAGTTGCTGTCTTAATGGACCAGTGAAGGAGGCAGACAATTAAAAAAACAAAAAAAAACCCCGATTTTCTGAATGAATGAAATAATGAATAATACAGACTAGGAACTTAATGTTGAGTGAAAAACTTATCACTGTTCTATACTTCAATTAAAAAAAAAAAGACTTAGGCTATTTCCAAAAAAAAAAAAGAAGAAGAAGAAGAAGAAGAAGAAAAGAAGAAGAAAGAAAAACTTATCACTGTCTATACAATATCACCCAGAGTCTGGTATTCACTCAACAAGCAACCCAGGGAACAAAGTGTCAGATCCTGTTCTCCAAGCCCTTGGAATCTGAAAAGGTAAAAATGTGACTCAGGGCCTGCACTCTGGAGCTCAGAGTCCAGAAAGAACTTGGAATATGTGTTGACTGCTGATTTTGTCAGGCCCTGTAAAAAGAGCTTTATGGTAACCATCTCATTTACTCCTCACTGACTATAGGAGGTTGTCCAAGGACAGAAAGCTTGGCAGAACGCTTGGGACAACAGACCTGAGACCAGGCAGGCTGGACAAGAGCTTTGGCACCCAGTCCTGACCCCTGGGTTTAGGCCCAGTCCGTGTGACCTTGCAGAAGTCAGTCTCTCTGGTCCCTCCATGCTCTAGCCAGTGTCTGAAGTGTCTGATTCCTGGGGTTTTTCCGGCGCCCCTTTAACCCGGGCTTCAGAGGCTGCCCAGGGTTTTTAAGAGTCGGTCCGAGGGATGAGGGACCTGGAGCAAAGGAGGAAGGTCACTGAGATCAGTAGGGAGGGGGTCGGTGAAGTCCGTAAAGAGGGATCAGCGGGGAAGGAGGTCGTAGGAGAGAGGGACAACCACAGACCCTGCTTTCTTTCCCAGTCTTCTGCTCCCACGTCCTCCAGCACCGCCACCCGGACCTTCTCTTAGGCTGTGGAAGGAGGGCATTCCCTTTCCCCTACCGGGTCCCTCCACCGCTTCCCCAGGCTGAAAGGCGACACATCCTTCGCGAACCAAGCGACTTGACTTAGGCCCCTGCTCGTTTGGCCCGGGAACTCGCAGCTCGGCTCATCTCTCCTCCAGGTCCACTCCCCCTGCGGCGCGCGACCACTTGGTCTGCGCCGCCTGCATTCTCTGTGTGCGGGGCCCGCCCGCACTGCGGGGGGAGAGTCCGGGAGCCGCCCACGCCGCGCTCCGCGCTCGGCGTCGGCGTCTTCTTGGGACGCGCGCGGGCTGAGGGCGCGCGGGAGCCGG